GCCTCTTCCTACCACTTAGTTCTTGCCAAGTCCGTGCTTGCAGGTTCCCTTGTTTTCCAGGACTTATTCCCAGCTAAATCACATGCACATCCTTGAAAGTACTTATATCTCTCATTCTCTCTAGATGCTATAGATTAATTAATTTGGTTCCTGTGTCCCATCATGTTAAGGAGCAAGTAAACCTGTTCTGTTGCAAACACACCTTGGTAGGGGTTTATATCCTTCCCCTTCCAAAATGTCCCCAAACTATGATTGTTCCTAACCAGAGGTGAGTTGCTACAGGTTCGCATTGGTTCAGGTGAATTGGTAGTGGAAATTGCGACTGGGTCACCATACTGGTAGGGATGGCAGGCTCACCACACCCCCGAATCGGTTCCCCAATTGCCACAGCATGGTGGTTTTTTGCCATTTTTAATCTTCTGCACATGCACAGACCTATTTACAGGCAACTGTACAAATTGTGCTCGCATCGAACCGGCAGTAACATCGACAGCAGCCAACCTCTGTTCCTAACAGTATTCTTTTGGTACAGTTTTTCAAATATTGATAACTTTTCAAGGTATTTTGTCTAAATGGTTAATGCTTGCAGAACACCTCATTTCTAGAGTTTCCTTTGCCTATTGCACTTTGAACAAGACCCATCCCTTTGCAACTGTATTTAGTCAGCCTCTCAAAATTGAGCAAATGTGGGCTGTATTGCTAATTTGTGCCCATGTGTTTTATTGCATGAGGTTCAGTGGGACCCTAAGCATAATTTTAGCACATCAGGAAGTTGGAGAGACTTATTGTACTAATAAAATAATATGCGGAAGATATGGCATGTGTCATACCATCTCCCACTAGAGTCTTTTTCCTCCAGATTGTGAAAATAAATACCCAGGGCTCATCCCTTATTTATAACCCAGGTTGCTTTTGGTTCTTAATAATTAATTTTCACTAATGTAAACACCTTTTGAATTTATTTCATAAATATGATGTATCTAATCTCTTTCCTATCACACTTTGGGAAATATACCTGGCACGTTAAAAAGAAAAAGTGGTATAGGATTCTAAGTGCAATTAGGTGAGTGTACAGTCAAGTAATGAATGGAGGATATCCTGCTCATTAGGCTTACAAGCATCCTCATCTTTCTTTCAAAAGCTTATGCACTGTTGAAAGATTTGCCCTCTCGATAAATTAGGTTATGAGCCTCATGGTTATGTTAACTAAATTATTATTTCACCTTCCAGTGTTGGGCATGGGCTTCTTAGCCTTTTAACATTATAACAAACCACTGAGATGTACACTGAGATGAAGTTAATAACTGGCTCAAGCTTAGTTAAAAAAAAAAGATCAACTTTAAATTGAACGAAGATTTCAACTTCAGCTTTCCTAGTTTTTTTTCAACAGATGCCCAGCCCAGTTCCTCTATGAGAGCCTTCCCTATCGACGTTCCAAACAACTCATTTTTCTGCCGTGTTTTCTTCATTGCCTTCATTGCATCTTCAGTCCATGCCAAAAGCAGCTTTAGGTGCTGGTGGTGTAGGGGTTGGAATGCAGTATTGCAAGCTGACTCTGCCCATAGCCAGGAGTTGAATCCTGATGGGGCTCAAGGTTGATTCAGCCTTCCATCCTTCTGAGATCAGTAAAATGATGACTCAGATTGTTGGGAGCAATATGTTGATATTGTAAACTTCCCAGAGAGTGCTTGTTGGTCTCTTTGAACTAGTACTGAAGAATGGTGAACAAATATGCTACAACTGAGTAATTCCTCCATCCTGTAAGGTGCTGTTTTATAGCATTCATTTTTCTTCTTATAGTTATTTTTATAGTATGCTCACTTTGTCCAGTAAAAAGACTGTGGCCGATGGTAAATTCAGATGGTCACTCACATATTGGTTGCTTCCATGTTCAAGAGCAGTTCTTACTGGACCCAACCAGTGGGGGGGNCCAATCTTCTTTGCCCATGCTGCAGGCCTGACAAGATTGTTGTTTAGTAGCTGTTTGAAATGCCATGGCTAAAAGAGAAAAAAAAATCTGAGCCAAATTGTTTGGATATTAAAAGGGGGGAAAGAATAAAATATTAATCATTGTCTGATGGTTATCAACATATTGTCCTTATTCTAATATGTTACTTGTCTTATTAAATAAATATTTTGCTCCTCTTATTCTCAGCCACTCAACATTGCATACAGCCACATTTATAGCTCTTACCGAAACTTTGTGGGACCCCCACACTTCAAGACAATCTGCCGACTCCTTGGGTACCAAGGGATTGCTGTTGTGATGGAAGAATTGTTGAAGATTGTCAAAAGCCTGGTAATGGGGATAAATAAACCCACTGGTTTTAATCCTTGTCTTTCTTCTTGTCTTCTTCCTCCTAAAGTTCCTTGTGGTTCCCCCAAATCTGCTCCAGAAATTTTACTGATATTCTGGCAAAAATTTGAGAGGGATCGGAAGTGGATCTGGGGAAGAGAGGAAGGAAAATTCATGTTGTGTAAATAGAAGTTGATTGGTGGGACATTCCATATAGTTCCAAGATCGCAAGGCAGATTTTAATTAATTTTCCAGCTATGGTTTTCTGCATAGGATTTGAGGAAGCTTTTCACATCTGCCAGTAATTCTGCTATAAATCTGTAATTACTCTGGCGGAAATGGAGCTCCCATGATATTGGTAAGCCTGTGTTCAGAAATCCATGTACCAAAATTATCAGTTCAACATAAGATATAGTAATTTCTTGGTAGCAAAAGGAAAAAAGAAAAAAAATACTTTTTGCACTGAAATATAAAAATATTAAAAAGTCTGCTTGGGTTTTTTAAGTAGGTTACTATTAGTGTAAACTTTTTAAATTGTTTTCTTATTTTTCTTATTCTTACGTTTTCAAAGAAAAGTATTTTTATACAACCATTTGGATATATTTAAGTATTGTAGCCCACTTAAAAGTGATTTAAAATACTTTTTTGGATCCCAGCTCAAAAACACTATGAGGAGCTTCCAGAAACCCAGAAATTTGCACATCCAGTTGCCAATTTAAATCATCTGTTTTTATTTGACAAATGTTTCCCTTTGGGTTTTGGAACTTCCGAAGCCTCAGTTTCTTCCTACAAACTATTGAACTCAGAAGAAGTAAATTTTACTTCTGTTTAATACGCCATTATATTTAAAGCTTCCTTCTTCTTTGAACTGAGTGAGATAGGATCAAGATTACTTGCAACTGCATAAATTGGTTGAAGGGAGCCAAGATTTGCAGCTGCAGGCCACTTTGCAAACTGCAGATGCTTTGAATTATGAGTCTACTTCCCAGAGCTGACATTCATCTCCAATTGCTTTTGATAGCTGCAAGGAACCATCCTTCAGTATGTGAAGACCTTGATAGAGGTGATGCCGAAGATTTGCCGCCTGCCCAGGCATGAGTATGGATCTCCAGGTTAGTACTGTGAGATTGGTAAATCTGCATAATGCTAAGGAGAAATTTCCTAATCAGTGGACTGGCTTGCCTCCAGAATGTCTGGGTACTCCAATACTGGAGATTTTAAAGAAGAGATTGGACAACCATTTGCCTGAAATGATATAGGGTTTCCTGCTTGAGCAGGAAGTTGGACTAAAAGACCTCCAAGGTCCCTTCCAATTCTGTTATTCTGTTAATTCTTATTTATCACATTTAGGTGTTTCTGTCCTTTGTCCAAAATCATCAGCATGACTTATTTTGAATTATGCTATTTTAAATTTTTCATTATACTATCCACTCCATTTTATCTACATGTGTGCAGCAATTTTTTTTTCTGGTTTCAATTTGTGCTTTAGACATGTAAAAAAAAATATCCTAAAGATTAAGATTACAGAGGTTTAATTTAGCAACTAATTGAGAGTTGTAGAAACAACCTAATTACGGTATAAGAATCACTGTAGAAACCAAGAGTTGAGCCCCATGCAAGAATCCAAATTAAGGCATCCCAGATATGCCAATAAATTACCTGGGCTGTTAGTTCCACTAACAAGCTTTCTATTTCGATTCCCCCCCCCCCCAATATTAAATGTTGATTTAATATTAGAGTATGATTTGAGTAAATTAAATCACTATTCTTCCTGCACACCAGAATGAATTTTTTAACTTCTGCAATATGTCATCCTTTCAAGTATTTGAAGGGTGGTGTAATAGTCCTTCTGTTCCAATCCTTTGTCAAAGCTAAATTTTCACAGGTCCTACAGTTTGTACTCATAAGATTTAATTTACTCAAATCA